ACTCGAACCGCTGTTGCTCAGAGCTCAAACTCTTGAGCGAGCTCTTAACCAACTGAGCCACTCGGCCGGCCCTTATATTTTCTTATTTTCTAAAACCTTGGCTATACAACTCAAAAAACAAACACCTGAGGGAAAGTTTTATTTCACTAGTAGCTCATGCAATTTAATCTTCACAGTGACATGCACCTTCTTTTACTGCTGCATTTTCCTGCCAGTCCCACTGTAAATCGAGATGTTTCTGTCCTCCCTATGCAGCGATTCAAAACTGAGAAGTTAATGATTTTGCCAGTTTCCAAAAAAATTCTTTTGAACTGTAGAAAACAGATTCATAATCCAGTAGGGACCTTATTTTGGATGTTTTCTGAAAGGGGGAGACATTTCTCCTCTGACTGAAGTAATAATGACAAGTGTTTTTTTCCCCATATTTGGTATTATTCAAAACCTGATGACTATGGCCACATATTACAAACAAACTAACAAACACAGAATTCATTTCTCTCCTCCTTTGGGCACCTTGCAGTGCCTCTTTCTTTGCTCTGCCTCTTCCTCCCAAGCCCTTGTTTGAGAGAATCAAAGGTTCATTTTAAGTTTAAAGGGACCTTGGCGGTCATCAGGTAAAATTGTCTATTCCACATAAGAGGCCACTGATACTATCTTAACAACATGGTTATCTTGCATATGCCTGGAGAACTGGGGTGAGGTGGTCCCTCCTGTCCCTCGTGACGGTCACTATTAGCATTAGGAAATTGTAAGCGCCTTACCATCCCTGCTCTCCGGGCAATCACAGTGTGAAAATGTCCATCCGACACCTTTTTCATGGTGGTGAGTTTATAGGTACTGCTGCCTAAATTATAAGAGAATCTTAGTCTTTCTTCAGCAATTTCAAGGGCCAAAAACTCAGCCCGGTCCCCTGTCTGGTTGTCATAGTTGTAAAGCAATAGAGCATGGCTTTTAATAGTTGCAAATTTGACATAAATATAGTTGTTATTGGGATCCAAGCTGGGAAATTCCATGTATGATAACTCCTCAAATCCATAACTATTCAACTCGCAGTGTTTTCCAAAGACACCTGTAGATGGGAAAATTGACAAATTGACACATCCAATTCCAGTGCAGTTTTATTAAATGACTTTAAGATATTTTTAAGTTACAATAATGAGTCACGCTTTTAACATTTTTTATTACTCTCCAAAGAATACCATATAAATTAAATTGAAATAAAATGAACTGATGATCTTTAAAACATATAGCAGAACTGATAAACTGATACAACTGTTTTTCTTTAGCCAATTAGGAGCTATATCTAAGTATGTCCCATTTCCAAAAACTAGATTTAGTGGAATGAAGTATGTCTGAAAAGATCGCTTTCCTGGAAAACTTTTAAAATTAGTTTGTCAATCTTTTGAAAGGTTTAATATGCTGTAATTTTCAAGCAAATATTTCCTTCATAATATATAATTCTTAAAAACAATTTCAATTCAATTGAGAATGGTAAATTCTGTTTTGACTAAAAAGAAAAAATTCAGTCCCTGTACTCGTGGTATTTTCAAGGGTCACAAAAATAGGGAAGGGAATCAATCACTGCTTTTAGAAAAGGAAATAACTGTCTTAGTTTTTATCTCTTTCTTGTTTCATACCCACTTTGGGTCTGATTTATACCAGGCTCCTTGAAATAGCTTTCTGTTTTTCCAAAATGCAGCATTCTCACTTGTTTGTGCTGGTTCTTTTTCAAACTTGAAAAAGGAGTTTTATTGATGTTGCGATGCTATGCCAAAATTCTTTTCCCACAAATATTAGTAGACTGTAGCAAATGATTGGAAAATTAACCCCTGCCAATAATACATCATGACTCTAGTGAACTTGCAGAGGTTTCATTCCTTAATTTTGGCTGCACATGTCTTGCAAATGCATTATATTTAGAGTAGGGGAACTGTTCAGCCAGAAGGAATCCATGCCTTCATTTTACAGAATATTTAAAACATGCCCAAGGCCACAGAACCATGCGAAAGAGAGCCAATATTTGAGGCCAGATCTACTGATTGTCTAGTCGTTTTGCTACACCACATTTTATATCCAAATGTTCTTTAAATTAAAATGGCTTAGAAGCTGCTATAAAAGTGTATGTCTATTTTATTTTCCTGTCAAGGCTGGGATGATTTTCATTGTAATGAATACATACAATTTATTTTTAATCATTCCTTGAAGTTAAATAAAAGGCAAAGAAATTATTAGGATAATACTTGTTATATATCATATATTACATACGGCATACATTTATGTTTATATCATAAATATATCTCATCTGTCATATTGCATTTATAGTTTGTATTGTATCTATAATTTATATTTATATGCAATAAAAATTTTAATTTATTTATATTAAACATATTTATTATATTGGGTTGTCGGAAAAGTCATGACGTATTTTTTCTGTTTTCCGTTGCAAAACTGCGTCATGACTTTTCTGACAACCCAATATTACAGATAACTTATATATGCAGAAAGAGTAACCAGAGATAAAGAAAAAACAAGGTAAAATATACAAATTAAATAGATGATTGAAGAAAAATCTGTAGTATGTGTTCCCTCAGGTGTCTTGATTTAATTGTAATAAATCTAGAAAATGTGCTTAAAATTGAATATACATATATGTAGAAAGTATACTGATCCTAGAAAGATGTGCTACATTTTCATACAAATTAATGCTGTATTTTAAAACATGAAAATATTTCTTTATAGAATATTTTTTCTCTTTAAGAAGCTGTGTTACTATTTCTACAGATATGTAGATTTTTGTTTTTGAAATACGAAAATAAAATTTAATGAGGATTTTAAAATTGCCTTTGAAATGAAATGCCATGAACTAAACCTACATAAAAGTCAAGAGAAATTATTAAAATTACTCTAATAAGGGATATTTTGTATGTATACGTATACATATATGAAGGTATACATATATACATACATGAAGTTTTAATTATACAGGCTCTCTTTATAAAGTCTTAAGTACTTTATGTTTTTTTCTGAAATATAATCTAAAAAACTCTAAATTCCTTAAAAACTTTTAAATCCAAATAAAGAATCTTTCACTGATGAGAAGGTAAACAGTGAAATTTTTTTCTAACTTCAAAATTAGTTACAATGTTGTTTTGTAAGATGCATGTGTAACCTCCTCCAGCTATTTCTTTGAGGCATTCCATCTGCCATTTTTATTTGTATATTTCACCCACGTTCAATTTGAAAAGGAAAATACTTTTTCCTTTTAATTTTCTCTGGTCTTAAATCATGCAATGTTGTTTGAAGATTTTGTTTTGTTTTGTAAGTGCTTCTGTTGTTCTCTGATGATGTCTAAGTTTAAATAATGTTTTCTGTCTTTTCCACTGGAAGAAACAGGGAGAGGAATTTGCACTGCCAGCTACATATGATCTGTCTCTCTTTTAATTTACATTGTTGTGCTAGCCCCCTTTTCCTGGGGAGCTCTGGTAGGGTGAGGAGAAGGTCCATTTGGACCCCAAAACACTTCCAACCAATAGGTAATGACTACTGTAACAGCTACACTGTAGCAACAATTTGTTCTGACTTAGTATCAATTATCTTAAATCCTCATATTTGCAATTGGAATGCAAAGGAATCTCTAAAAATGTAAACAACCTTTGTTGGGTTACTTCAAACTCATTTTCCACTTTCCAACCCACTCTCCTTATCTTTCATTCTGGAACACAAGTTAAACCATGAAATCAGATTGTGGTTATGTGCAGAGGGCATAGTAGGATTATAAACTGTCCTCAAAAGGAAGGTGTTTTAGGATATCTACAGTTGTGGTTATTTTGACTTGGGTCTACTTTTCACTGTCTCATTAGCATTGTTGGTGAGAATCGCAAAGACATTTAAAAAAGGACAGGCACTATGAATGTCATACTGAACTGAAAAAAAATGATGTCCTAGTGGCTCTATCATCTGGGAGTAGTTCTGTTTTCATTTTTTGACTTTAGACAATACCCACAATGTGTGGGCCTCAGAACCACTGCCAAAATGCATGGCTCAGAATGAGATATTTTTATATTGTTTTCCATCATCATTCTATTGATGTGCTTTATAAAACAAAACTAGATAGAGTCATGGACTTATTTAAAAATGAATTAATAGTACATTTGACTGGTTACAAGAAACATCAGATTCTTTTTAAGTTCTACTCTCTACTATACATTAAGATTCATTTTTTGTGTCCACAGTAATTTGTCCAAGGAAAGACCAGAAAAATACCCTCTTCCTCCTTTACTTATGGAGAGAGACGGGGTCTTTAACTACTGCAGGACATGTGGAGATGGATCCAACAGTGTGGGGCAGTCAGCCTCGAAAGTCATGGAATGATCATAAAACCATGAGACACAGCAAGTAAAGTGAAAGCTTCCTCCCAAGTTTTTCTCCTTGTCCTTGGATGACTTAGTGCTGGGTACCATTTGAGTGACACCTGGAAGGAATCTTTTGGTTCAGTGCACTACAGTGAATATATATGTATGTGTACAAACTAATTCTAAAACCTTTCTCAAAAGAATACATTAGTCTGAATTGTATTATGTTGATACTATTTACAAAAAGCCTACTGTGAAAACTGTCTGGTTAGTTACAGAATCCTTCTAACATAAGTGGTTGAATTAATGTAAAAAGCAAAAGCAAAACAAAGCAAGAATCATCTTGACTGATGCTTTTTAAAGATCTGAAATAGAGAATGACATCAAATAGTGTCTCAAACAATTTTTATTTGGTAGGTTCTGGGCTAAAAAGAAGGCATCCATAAATATTTGAGAGGAAGTGTCCAGAGGAGACAACATCAAATTCAATTACCTTGAACTGATTATCTTTCTAGTGATGATCAAAGCAATGTGTTCAATGGTATTCCCATAATTGACTTTTAAGAATATTAAACCTTTGAGATTTTATTTTGCTAAAATCTCCCATGTAAACACATCTAATATTTTCTTAATCACTCAAGGCCATGATCAAACAAAATTGCTAAACTGTGCATCAAAATAGATTGATATTTTATATGAATGACTGAGCTGTACTCACCAAACGGACAGTGGCAGTAGTAGGACTCCACACCACTTTGGCAGGAACCGCCATTAAAGCAGGGGTTGCATTCACAGTAATTGACTGAAGATTCACACATTTTCCCTGAAAAATACCAAACTCATTGAAAAAAATCTGATGCATAAATATATTAACACCATCACTGCATAACCATATGCAGAAGTCTATCCTGAGACACTGTATCTTGGAGAAAAGAAATATGAGAACATTTTATTTAACATGAAGAAACTGGAGTATTATCTCAGAGTTTAATCTCTTACTCAGTTGTCCTATTGTAAAAATATAGATAATAATATTTAGGAAATAATTATATATATATATATATATATACATCTTGGGAGGAACTGCTGTTTTCAGGGAAATTACAAATAAACATATTTAAATATTCTCACTAAATTTATTTTTCTCTTTACAGTGTCACTTCGTTTTTCACATTTTGTAACTGTGTAGTTGAAACTTTTACAGTATAATTTTCATTATAGCGGTTTACTTGACTCAGATTTTTTAAACGTAAGAATCAATCTCATGTAGCTTATTTGCAAAACTACAATCCTTTCACTGTCAAGAAATATCCCTTAACATATACATACATATCTGTTGTAAAGCAGAATAAGACATAAGAAAATACATTAAATATACTCGTATTTCAAATAATTACCAAGATTTATTCTCCACTGCAGATTATGTATACTTTGTTTTTTTAAAAAGCAATAATACCTAGCCAGTATATATTTTTTTCAATTTATAAAGACTTTTCTCATACATCATCTTTTTAATTTAAATCAACTAATATTGACCAAGTGCCTATTATGAATCAGACATTTTAGAAGATGGGGATATGGCCATTAAGAAAGCAAACAAGTGTTTTAACGTGGTGTTTCCATTTTAATGGGAGGAAATGATGAACTCAACAGGAAATATTTACATTTCATGGATGAAAGAGAAGAGGTCCTTGGAGGCTAATATCTTATCTAAGAAATTATAAAACAATGGCACAGACCAATGTAGGCCGGCTCCTATATCCAGGTGTCACAAAGTTATAATTGAACAGTTAATCACTTGGTTAGGCAAAATTTAGGGCATAAGGCCAGTCCCATTTGTTTTTGTTGTCGTGGTGTTTTGTTTTTGTTTGTATTTTTCTTCTTATGTAAACTGAAATGTGTTTTAATACCACTAATTACTATTTATTAAATTAACATTTGTCTTATATATACATTATATATAATTACTAGAGTAATTTCTAGTTTTCTGATTCTAGGAAACAATGTGATGCTATTTAGTTCTTAATTTCCATTCATTGACAAGAAAGTTTAATTATTTATTTAATTGAATAGAGTTTTGTTTCTGTAAAGCTATTTTCAACTTCCCAGCTTGATTGTACTAATGCTTTTATTAAATGTCTCATGAAAACATATAAGTTTCATATGCACAACTAGACTTAATATTGAGCATAGATAATCCATTTTATCATAACTATGCTTAAAACATAGTCAAAGTTTTTGTTTAATTTAGTTCTGTTTTTTGTGGCTTGATTATGTAGCCACAATTGTTCTGGTTTGAAATTACAAGCATGAATCAGACCTCATGACACTGCTAGCAAACATGTTTTTCTACATCACTGGGTTATAAACACAACATTTTTTCCTTTATAAATAAAATTGGGAACCTCCTCACAAGGGAAAACACTCACAATTTTGGAATACCTTTCTATCCCAAGGGGAAACTAGAGGCCCAGAAATTATGTTTCAAGTACTGTACTAATGTGTTACATTTGAGAGACAGGACAACTTGACCCTAAGACTGCAAAACACCACCTCAGAGAGATGCTTTGTCATAATCTCTCCTGTGATGTTTCCCAGCTGGATTTGTGACAGATTATTCTAAAGGAGGTTTTTTTTCTTTTCTTTTTTTTCTTAATAGAAAATCAGTATTGCCCGAAGTAGAATAAATAAGACCTATTAGCTGTACTTTTGACTATTTGACATGAGGAAGATTGCAACTTACTTCTACCATTCTTTTTTTTTTCCACTATAAAAGCATACACAATTGTCCCATGTGCTATTGGACTAAGTAAGGTTTCATATTCTTGTTCTGAAAATTTCTTTTAGAGTTATATTCCAAGTAACATGTATTAAATATTATACATAGATTAATATACTTGATAGGTGTCGTCAGTATAACCTTGATGTTGTGAAAATATGTGAGTGGGCTACAAAATTGTAGACTTCACTTCATAAAGACTGGAAATGGGAGAACAAAGGTTAACCAATTTAGGAGGCACTGTCATATATATTTTACTCAAATATTTGGACATAGGTGCTCCCCAAGAAAAATATGTAAGAGTATAAAAACCCAAATCATCAATCCTATAAATCTCAACTGTATCCTTTCTGAATCTTGTTTGGAAAGAATAATTTTTTAAATGCTGATTTAAAAAATAGCAACAACAATAACAAAAGAAATTTAAGGTTTTCTGGGGGAGATTTATATAATTTAATTGTCTTATTTACCCCTTACAAAATGAGATTTTTAAGGCTGAGTTTAATTTAAATAAAAAATAAAGGGTATTTCAGTTAATCCAAAGTTAAGGATGGAAAGAAACCCTAAGATAAATAAGACTCACTCATGTATTAAAACTACAGTAATTACAGAAATGCCAGAATAAGCTGCAAACTTAGAAAATATTAGTTTGAGAATGAATTTCTTTTAGAAGTTAAAATAACTTCTTAATAGAATCTAATTCTTTCCATATATAATACAGACACTGGTAAGAGATAAAAATCAACTTTTCATTTACTATTTTAATTTAAAAGTTTTTTCTTATTTTTCCTTTGTAGATAATTATCAAAAAAGTAAGAAATGACTTTGGTAGGAGTCAAATAAATGAATTCATTGTTAAGTTTGGGGAAAATAGTCTTATTTCTTGGTGTTAGAATATGTAAATTATTTACCATTCAAAAATTCAGTGTGAGTATTCCATTTAATGAGTATCAAATTTTCTTTTTACAGTCAGTGAATTTGAAAGAGGTTACCATACTAGAAATTGGGATTCAAAGATATAGTTGAAAACTCAATGTTTCAAATTAAATTGTTATTAAAAGAATCCCTCCCCCCCCCTTTTTTTGTGAGGGGAAGACGTCATAATTCTACTTAGAAACAAAAGAAAGCCCTTAAATGCGTATTTCTCAGGTTTGGGAAGTTCATGCTCTATTAACTACCCAATTAGAAGTCAGCAACAAATTCTGGGCTCTCCTCACATGGGAATCAACTTCAATTCTAGTCTTAACGGCATAATGATTATCAGAGAATGAGCGGTGGGAATTACTTTAATATGCATCTGGTAAAAATACTCTGATGCGTTGGAGCACCATGAAGCAAAATATTGGATCATTAACTTAATTAATGCTGCAAGTCAATGAACAATATTCATCAGTGCCTTGAAGTTTGGAAGAGGCTGCTGGTAAGGCTTGTGCCGTGTTTCTTGAACTCAGGGAGCCTTTTTCTCTTAAGATGTGTTAACTATCAGAGCAGCTGCTTAGAAGAAGAGGCTGGTCTCACTCTCTGACATCCATCAATTGTGCTGATCTGCAGTTATTTATCACAGGTAGAAGGAGCTGTGCTTCAGGGCGTGTACGCTCTTAGCACATGAGAATGGGATGCTGATGGTGAAAATGAATGACTAGGCGGCCAGGGATCGACCAAGTTTCTGACACGATGACACTAAGCCTGCTGGAGAAACTGAGCATATATCTGCATGTACAGGGGTAGGTGCGATGAAGTGTTGAACATACACTGAATCTGTGGTGATCACGTATGGTCTTTTCAACAGGGTGTATTTTGGAATTTCACTCATTCCAATAGCACATTTTAATGTTAGATAATGTAGAGCTGAGCTAAATTTATTCTCACCTGTTAAATTTGGCCACCCTGTGAAGGTATGATGATTTCTGATGTCCTATAGTTCATATAGGTGTCAATTTAATGTCTTAGATCATATATATATTAGGTCACAAGTATTATTTTTGTGTCTTTTATAGAGAAGAGGGACTGTGTGCCACTGTCAACGCTGATATTATATCTAAATTGATTTTATTAAGAAATATAATTCCATAACACATCTATGTTTGTTTATTCTGAAAAATTATGCTTATAAGCTTTTTTTATTATTTTAGCAGAAAGTAGCAATATTTTGCACACCGCGTAAATGTTCCTCTTATTGGAAAAAGCACTATGAAGGTAGCTCACTGAAATGTCCTTAAAACATAATAGCATTATGTCTTTTTATATCAAAACAAAGCAAAACTATCATGTTTTAATAAGGGCTGCTTGTGAGAAAAGCTAAAGGAAAAGAACGGTTTTACCTTTGAATTTTAAAACATGCACAAATACAATCTCAGTAAGACTACAGAATACTATTTATTATATAATGTCATACATAATATCCATGATAAGCTTACCAATACGTGCCTATTTTCTGCAGAAATAAAAGGTCTTTAAGGTATTAGAAACCTGTTTTTAATGCTATAATGGGTTAATATATCACTTGAGGTAAGCTGTCTAATTCCACTCAGAAATAAAATCAAAACAAGAATTGAGCCTTTTCTCCTCTCTTATATGAGCCCTCACTCCTCTGTATCTCACTGGAAACTTTATTTTACATCAATTCATTGACTTTTGTTTATATTCTATGGTTTCTTGGTAACGTGGTCATTGACAACATTAATATGTGACTTGTGATTTTAAAAAAATAACCCTTTGTTACTACGCCTATCTTCATGAATACAAATGTTTGCCAAGTTTCTCAGTAAAATTTCTGTGCACGACCTGTATGTAACTTTATATATCTGGGGGAAATTCCTATTTATACTGTCAGATGACATCAGAGTGATGAGTGGGCAAATCTCGTCCTCCCCGGAACTATCAGGACCTACTTGAGAGCACAGGAAAGCTCCTCCATATGGTGATAAACCCCTGGTGTCACTCCAAATACCACACCTAAAATGCCTCCAGATGTGTGGAAGTCACAGGGAAAGGTTAAGGGGCTATGAACTAACTCTGTCATGAGTGACGTGGATTTAGAAATAAGCTCCACGGACCTGCTGTCTCCTAACACCACCCCTTCCTATGAAGGCCTTAATGCCAGGACGCGCTGCAGTGAAAACCTGGGGTCAGGAGGACAAAATGCTCGGTGGTTACTGACTATAATTGTGCTTTCTAATTAGTGTTCTATTAAATGCAATACATTTTCATTTGTATAGGAAAAGAAATATTGGACTTGCAGTTGTTAAGCTGCTGTTTTCTTTTCATAGCCCCTGAGCTAAAAGAATGAATGATATGGAAGATATTTTCTTTTGATTTACTGAGGCATACTGGCAACTGATGTAATTTCTAGTATTATTAAACTTAGTGAAAATTTAGAAATTAATTTCTCACGTGTCCTACACTATATTAAAATTCATTCATCCTTTTTAATTCCCTGTATTAAGATGAATTAAAGCTCCACTTGGTGTATAAAATTAAATTATAGGAAAATATTCTTAATAATGAAACATAAAGTCATTTAACAGGATATGAAGTCTCTACTATTATATATTTTTTCAATTCCCTTTTGTATTTTTCCCATAACTAAGAAAAAGTGATCAGAAATGTAAGCTATACAAACAAATTCATTCACTTTAAATCACCCATTCATTAAAAAATATCCTTATTCTATATTTCTTATGTGACTCCATGGTCACAAATTTGAAAATAAACTTAACATATATATATATATATATATATATATATATATATATATATATATATATATATATATATCAGGAATAAACTGGTGGCAGTATAATAATAACTATATTGCTTCATATATTTTTAATGTAGTTGTATTTATAATAATTTTATTATTATAATAATTTTCAACTTTATATTTGCATCCTTATAGGATGTTGTCTACACAAAACTTCCCTGGTCAGCTAACAAGTAGTCACCCGTGGGATTCTTAGGGAAAGTCTCTTGGTTTGATCAGTTCATAAGCCAGCCCCTCATAGTCTTTAGTGCAGCTTCTAACTTCACATGAAGTATGCAGAGGAGTGTGAGAGAGAGAGAGAGAGAGAGAGAGAGAGAGAGAGAGAGAGAGAGATATATATATATATATATATATATGGGGGTAATGGCTGAGAATTATTTTAAGCAGAAAGTTAAGAAAATCTCACAGCTCCAATTTGTAACGCTACAGACTTTAAAAATCACTGAACAGATTGCAGGTGAAAGTCCTCAAAAGTAAACAGTATGAAAATACAGGTGCTTTGGAATAATTCTGATGCTTCTAAAGATATTTGACTCCATACAGGCTTTGAAGAAGGCTCACTCAGGCCCTAGTCCTCAGTTAATGTCAATGGTAGTCAAATCTAGCTAGGATGAGTATTTTTAAAAGTTCGTTTTATGAGGCACACTCATGCTTAGGTATGAATGTTGTCTTATGGCTTCTTAGCTCTGATGAGGAATTTAAGAGGTTTTGGTGCACTAGCTCCATCTACCTGAGCCAGGTTACCTACTAAAGACTAGCTGGAAAGAGAAACTCAAGTTGATCTTCACAGGTTACCTTTACAAAGAACCTTAAACAGATACAGATGCTTAAATGATACACTCCTCATTTAGTGTATGGATTAACAATTTGTTACCATATTTTTTGTTTGTTTGTTTATAGTGTTTCCTGCGAGATAAAAAAATAAAACCGTCAAACTTCAATTATCTGATAATTTTACTGCATGGACTATGTATATAGAATTTGAAACAATGAATTACATGAATTCAAAAAATGTAAGATTCATGTTAATCATTCAATTTTATGTTGATTTACGTCATTCCTGATCAGTTGGAGTATCTCTACTCATGCAAATGGAGACTAACGTGAGCTCAACTTCAGTTTTCTGGACAGAAAGAGGTTATGATCTGGTTTCCGGCGGCTTTTCCCCAGAGTCACTAGTGTAGGCTCAGTTTTCTATACTATAAAATGGGAATAATAATAGTCTCTTTGTAAGCCAGATATCTGTGACACTCAGTGCCATTTCTGCCTTTCTGTATTGCAAGAGCTGGAGGTCAGAAAACGACCTTTCCCAAGCTCCCTTGCAGGACTCAGGTTTAGACTCTGCCAGTGAGTGAGAGGTGAATTTTCCTGACCTTCACTATTAGCCAGTTTGAAGATGTTGTGACCTATTTCCTTGTATTAAATACCTTCGTACTTGGAAGTCCTAAAGTAATCTCAGGTCCTGACCAGTCTCAGACCAATACACTATCTCACAGGCTTTTTGTGCGGACCAAGCAGAATACCGGATGAACGTTTCTTAGAAGGCATCCACGACCTGCCACCACACTCTCCAGCAAGCACACGTGGAAGTGTGAGGAAATGTGGCATGCACACAAAGAGCAGAGGCTGTGGAGCCAAGCTCAGGGCCAAAGCCCAGTCAGGCCACTCCTGTGCCATGCCGGAGACAAATTATTTAATCTCTTTTCATCCCTCTAAGACCCAAGGTTTTTGCCTTTAGAATGGGTATAGTAATAAAGTCCGCTTCACAGAGCTGTGAGAACCAAATGCATAACAATTTCTGTGATGCAAGCAGCTTTAAGTAGTGCTTAACTAGCCACTTGATAGAGGTTATTCATATATCTTAATGAAAAGAAGGTCATTCCTAAAATTTTCAACCACTACATGGAGAAAAGTATGCAATGTGCATTTAATAAACGGAAACAAAGAAAGAAACACACTAGAGAGCAGCAATGAAGAAGGGCTAGTTCTATGTCCAGTCATGAGGTAAGTGCCGTTTATGCTGAAAGCAGCCTGCGGTGCCTGGTTCTCACCCACGGCACTCTTCCTGCCCCCTATCTACTACCAAATGCATTCATGCTTGTTTCATTCTAGGACTAGGCGTAACCTTACTCTAAATCTAAGTGTGAATGAGTCTATTATACCAAAATGGGACAAAGAAACAATTTTTATTGTTGAATTCCCACCAGAAAAAGCAACGTGTTTTTTTTTTGGGGGGGGGGGTTGGGGATGAGGAAGGAGTTTTAGAAATCCTGAACTCATAACACGTATAGAGCCCTAATACTCATGATCCGAAGACTACAACTCCATAAAACTCACTTACCTTGTGCCATTGAGGCTCGTCTTCTAAGGTTTTCTACGGCACGCTGCTCTTCACCATTGTACTCACGCTGCTAATACTACTACTAACCATCACTGCTATGTACTGAATGCTAGAATCCGCACCAGGTGTTTTACAAACATTATTTTTCCTCATCACAACAACACTAAGAGATAAGTACGATTACTCCCATTTTGAAGGTCAGCAAGGTTAGGCGACTTCCCAAAAGCTGAAACTCTGAAATTCACTGTGCAGATGTACATCCTAACTCTACAACAAATTAACTCGGTCACCTTAAAAAAACTGAGCTAACTTCTCTCTGCTTCAACCTCCTTACCTGTAAAAACTGGAAAATAATTATCCCTACCTCACAGGATTCTTGTGAGAAGTAAAATAAGTGCAGATAAAGCGCTTAGAACCGTATCTGGCCAATAGTAAATGCTTAAATCATTTGCTAGGATTATGCCCGTTTTCTAAAGAAGAGCATTTAAAAATGACAAAATTCATGACTTTCTATTCTAGTCGACAGGGCTACAGCCTTAGTGAAAGGAGCCAAATGTTGTCATACCTGTGTATCCGGTTTTGCAAACACAGTTGAAGCTCCCTGGGAAATTCTGGCAGACAGCACCATTCTTGCAAGGACTAGGCAGGCACTCATTGACGTCTCGCTCACAGGCCCTTCCTGTGAAGCCATCCAGGCAGCTGCACGAAAACCCTCCCACCAGGTTGTGGCAGGTCCCACCATTGTGGCAAGGAGACGGAAGGCATTCGTCTATGTCTACCTCACACCAGCTCCCGGCGTAACCGGGCAGACACTTGCACAGGAACGGCCGCAAAGGCTCGTTGGCCACCAGGATGACCGGGAGGCTCTCCTGGCTCTTCACCGCGGCGCTCACGGCCAGCCGGCGGACGCAGCTGCCTCCGTTCTGACACGGGCCGCGCACACAGGCGTCCTGGTCCACGGCCTCCACCTTCACCCCGCTCTGCCGGAGCAGGAGCTCCTTGATGCTCTCAAAGAAGGTGGCCACGCCACTGGGGCTCACGTACTGACTGCCGCCCCGCTTCACGGCCGCCAAGAGGAACGTCCTGTTGTTGTCCTCATAGGCCCCGTAGAGCTGCACGGCGGTGCCCAGGCCCGTGAGCTGGGAGCTGGCGATGCGCAGGAAGTGAAGGTAGTGGTTCGTCAGGAAGTCCTTCACCGTGGGCGCGCCGAGCCGCAGGAGGATGCTGCTGTCCACCGTGGCGTTGGAGAAGCCCGCAAAGAAAACCCGGACGCTGCTCGTGACTGCGCTGTGCACGCCGTCGTCGCTGAGGACCGTCAGGTCAAACGTGCCGTCTGTGGACCTCGGCTGGGAGCTCAGATCGCAGGTTCCCCTGGGGATACTGAAGAGGCTTGTCACTCCCGAGGTGAGGGAGCAGTGGAAGGTGTCTAACACGTCCGGGTCCTGGGGCTTCACGGAGCCCAAAATCCCGCCAGGAAACAAGTTGCCGTAGTAATTCACAAATATCTCCACCGTGCGAGACTGCGAAGGATTGTCGTTTTGGTCTATGACTGTGATGTGCACCGTGCCTGTGGAAGACATCTGAGGTACCCCGGAATCTCGAGTGACCACCGACAGGTAGAAGTCTGCAATCTGCTCCCTGTCGATCTCTCTGGTGGTGCTCAGAACCCCAGCAGTGTTCAGACTGAAATAATTGGTGGCTGGGCCTGTGCTCAGCAAATAATAGGTAAAGGGGCCTTGATTCGGCGGGAGATCGGGGTCAGTGGACTGAAGAGTCATCACCAGAGTTCCTGGGCGTTTGTTCTCCATAACTTCTCCTTCACCGACGGTCAACACAGGCCCATTGTCGTTTATGTCCTCCAGGGTGACTAACAGGGAGGCGCTCCCTGTGGCTGAGGGTATCCCGGAATCAACAGCCAAAACCGTGAGGTTATAGATGGGGAGGGTTTCTCGATCTAATTCTGCAGTTACCGTGATCTGTCCTGTCTGTGGGTTGATGGAAAAGGCACCGTTTTCATTCCCTGACCCGATGAAGTAGGAAAACCTGCTCCAGCTGGGGACAGAGTCTGAGTCGAAGGCACTGACAAAGGTCACGTGGGTTCCCGTCGGGACCCCTTCGCTGATCTGAACGCTGTAGATGTTCAGACTGAAAATGGGTGGGTCGTTGGCATCAAGCACGGTGATATTCACTGTGACCTCGTCTATGTCTGCACCTCTAATGCTGCCAAAATTCTTGGCCAGTACCTTCAAAGATAACCTCTCTTCTTTTTCTCTATCAAGGAGTCCAGAAACATAAATTTGTCCAGTCTTCTGATTGATCTGAAAACCCTTCTTCCTGCTGTTTCCAAAAATCAAGTAGTGTACCTCCCCATCGGTGCCCAAATCCCTGTCACTGGCAAACACTTCTCCAACAACCGTGCCTCTCGGGGCCGCTTCTGAGACTTCAAAGTAGTACAGTTTGGAAACAAAACGAGGCACGTATTCATTTGTCCCTTTTAACTGGATGTTGACAGTGGCGAAGCTGCACCGTTCTTCATCGGGGACATTGAAGGCTTTCACAGTGAGGTGGTAGCTCTGCTTGGTTTCAAAATCCAAGAAGCCCTGAGTGGTGATGACACCTGTGTTGGGGTCAATGACAAAGAGGTCGCTGTCGGATGCCTGTACAGTGTATGCGATCACAGCATTGGTTCCAGAGTCAGCGTCGGTGGCATTTAGGTGGATCACTGTGGTCCCGCTCGGGGCGTTTTCCAAAACAGCAGGGAAGTACTCATCAGGCAGGAAGACGGGAGAATTATCGTTCACGTCAACCACGTTGACAGTCACCCTGCAGTAACCGGTTCTTGCGACCCACCCTCCATCTGTAGCACTGACAGTCATCTCGTGTTTCTGGCAGAGCTCGTAATCAAGGGCTTTGGCGAGGGTTAGTATACCCGTGGAGGCATTGATGGCAAAAACGCCGTCCTCATTTCCTGCGGAGATGCTGTACCTAATCAAGCCGTTCATCGCTGCATCTCTGTCTCTGGCAGACACCGTCCTGACAATGGCCCCGACACTGTGGCTTTCGGGAATGGTGGCACTCACGTGGCTTTGGGAGAATTCAGGAGTATGGTAGTTCTCCTCAGTAACAATTATTTGAACAGTTGCTTGGGAGGAAAGGGGAGGGTTCCCTTTATCCTTTGCCGTGATGGTTATCAAAAAGTTTTGATTCAGATCAGAAATTAGGGAAGATGCTACTGAAATCCACCCTGTCTTGTTGTCCAATTTAAATTTCCCCAAGTGATTTTCACTGGCAACAAAATACTCCACTTCAGAATTCAGCCCAAAATCTTTATCATCTACTGCAGTAACTTTGATTAACTTTGTACCAACTTTGACATTTTTGGTGACTGGAGTAAAATACTTTGTTTTAAGAAACCGAGGTGCATTGTCATTGCTGTCCACCACGTTGATGGTGACGGTTGTCTCACTAAGTAAGGAAGGATTACCCCGGTCTGAGGCTGTCACTATGAAACTGTGTCTGTTGATGTTCACATTACTGAAGCCACTGACATTTTGGTATTTTAAGACCTGTTTATTGAAAATCTCCCCTGTGGTGGCATTAATCCTGAAATACTCTGATTGGGATTTTATAAAATAGAACACTTGTCCATTTGAGCCCTCATCAGGATCTGTTGCTGACACCTGAGTCACTTTGGAGCCAATTTCAGTAAGTTCAGGGCAATCTAAATAATAGGAGGGTCTGCTAAACCTTGGGGCATTGTCATTGACGTCCGTCACAAATATCGTGACGTCTGTACTCACAGTCCACCCAGAGTCATGTGCAGAAACGCGGATTCTGTAACGGTCCGTATCTTCTCTGTTTAAAGGTCTGCTAATGACAATATCCCCCGTGCTGGGATTAATGGTAAATGGGAGACTTTTGTCCATTATTGAGTATCTACTAATTGCATTTATACCAACATCTTCATCAGAAGTCGTGACGCGTGTAACTGTGAATCCTAATGGGGAACTTTCAGGAACATAGGCACTGAATATTTGAGAGAACCTAGGGGCATTGTCATTTTCGTCTAAAATGTTAATGATGACTTTTACTGAGGTGCTCTGAGAAGGGGAGCCTTTGTCTGAGGACTTAATGGTGAGTACATACTGAGGTATTTTTTCCCTGTCTAAAGGTCGAGTGCTTCTAATTTCCCCAGTAGCATGACTGATGCTGAAGCTATGTTCTTTGTTGCCACTCACGATTTCATAATCTAACTGTCCATTTGGTCCACTGTCCTTGTCCATGGCTGAGACAGTAAGTATTTTTCGAGGAGACAGATTTTCCAATATTTCAGCTACAAATGGATCTTCCTTGAAAATGGGGGAATTATCATTGACATCTAACACGGTTATGTCAAGTTTCTCATAAGAGGAGAAGGGAGGGAAACCACCATCTCTGGCCTCTATCCATACAACATATTTTTGTATCTTTTCAAAATCCAGAGGTTGACTAATGGACACCTGTCCTGTTAATTGATCGATTTGGAATGTATTGCCAAGATTCCCACTTGCAATAAAATAGGACAAAGGTTCTCCTCTCAAGGAGGACCCTGTGATGGTGGTGACGTGAGTGCCCACGGGTTGGTTTTCAGGAAACATGAAAGTTTGTTCTTTGGCTCTGACTTTAGGGAAATCGGCCTTGTTCACAAATCTAACTGTCACTGTGGTAGAATCTGTCTTTGGAAAGGAGCCACCGTCTTTTACATGCACAGAAAATGTCACTTCTGAAGCTCCGTTTAGTGGCCCAGCTGCCATAATAGCTCCCCTCAGTGGGTCAATGTGAAATTTTTCAGAGTTTCTACCCGAGAGAGAATAATGCAGTTCAGAATTGGGTCCAGTGTCAGCATCTGTGACTGTGACCGCAAAGACGAAGGAACCTATAAAAGAGGGAGTGTGCAGTTACCATCACAGGGACAGCATTCGGTGGTAGGTTCATGCTTATAAAACATTATATTGCTACCTGATGTCATTTTATTTTCCCATGATTACTAGGGGGGAATAGTATCTCCTACGTAGTCTCTGAAGTTCCCAAGTCAAATCTATTTAACAACAGTCTTCAGGGACTGACCTGCTGTTTTCTAACAAAAACCCAGATAGTCTACTGGATTCAACATTTTTCAGTATGCCTTTGAGAAAAGCACAGGGAAAGACAATGGCTAATCATTCTGAATTATAGTTCCTAGGAAAAAAACCTGTATATCACACAACTTCCAACCAATATGATAATACATGTGCTCTGCTAATAGCTATGTTTCTGCCCAATATAAAAAGAGAATTACTCTATTATTTTTTAAAACATCTCTGAATTATCACATATGTAATCTTGTCAACAAAAATATTATGTTAAAAAAATGATCATTGATCCCTTATACCCACTGTTTCATAGCAAAATTATTGTATCTGTGAGCTGTTATCTCATGGGGACAAAGCATATGCATATATGTGCATATAAATCTATAAATCAACTAGAATGATTATAAAGTAGTAAGAGATAAGAACTGAGAAAGAATGGACCCAATGTGAATTCCAAAAGTTAGTGTTTGGGATGAGCGCCAATGAAACAGATTGTAGTAGAAATATGCAGAAAAGCTGCCAGGAGGACATGTTTTCGATATACTCATTCAGAAACCTTTCCCAAACCTGCACTCCTAACCCCTACAGAAAAGTCTCTTATTTAAAAAAAAGGCCAGTGATTCTGATGAATTATGTCTAACGAGGAGGAGATGCTTCAGCACTCCTCACCTTGCCCAGCAGAGGCTGGACTGCACCACTGCACACTGGGTGTAATTAGAATCATGCCTGCCAGCAGCAGCGCAGCTGAAGGCCTTCATCAGGGAGCTGTGACTTTGATATTGACATTTTCTTTTGATAGAAAGTTGGCACAAAAAATTTATGGATTTTATACTTTCAATTGGTATCAATTAGACATTTGCAAGCAAACAGAAGATCAAAGATCACTGAGAGGAGGAATCCTGGATCCATTTATTTCTCTTCTAATTAAAATATTTTAAAGCAAGGAAGATTAAATTAATTTTGATCCTTATTTGTATATTTTCCTGTTTGAAAACTCATCTCAAAAATTCCAGATGGCAGATGATTTGTCCAGCTCTGAAGAGAGTACGCCATTCTTTGCGAAAAAGCAAATATAACCAAGCTAAATTTAAACAAGATGCAGAATGATGAATACATGTTGTCAGTATGAAAGTGGTTCAATAATGGCTCCATAAGCTTATTAACAAGCAGACCTGCATTCCTCAAAACTGAAAAAAAAGGAGAATTATTCATTCCTTAAACACTGTTAAAAACCTGAAACTAAAAAAAAAAAAAACTAGAAAGAGAAAAACAAATAATTCAAAGAAAGTAAAAGCAAGTAATTAAACATTAATATAAAAAATATATATGTGTGAAGCATTGAGTAAAATGCATTTTACACCAACAAATATCGTTGAATGCCTATTAGTTCCCAGATAATGTTTCAGGTGCTAGGATATGGCATGAAAAAAAGACAATGTTCCTTCCCTCAGGGAACCTACACACAAACTACATCTCCAGGCAGAACCCTCCGTGACTACAAAGCGATATCCATTTTAATAATTCCACAATATTCAAGTAATATTAAGAAGTAGTAGTAGGAAAGATGTGGCCATTATAAAATCTAATTGGTCTGGGAAGAATTAATTTACGAGCTCCAACATTCCTTTCATTTTGTTAGGCAAAACAAGTTCAATTTTAGAAGATATGTGAACTTAGGCTACATCAAAATTTTACCTGTAAAAACAACAGAAGGCATTGTTAGAACATGTCCAATGGATAGCTTGTATTTATCCGTGGCCTAAGAGCTGACCCGATTACCTGGAGAAGTAGGAGACGGGATGTGTGTGACATATGGGTGATGCTGAAACCTCGGGGGGTTGTCGTTGACATCGGTCACAGTGACGAGCACGCTGGTGGAGCTGGAAAGAGGCTGCGGGGACCCAGCGTCACTGGAGACGACCACTAAAGTATAATTCTCTTTTGTTTCCCTGTCGAGCAAGGCGCTGGTGATGATCTGTCCTGTGGATGGGTTGATGGTGAACTGAGAGTTTCCCCCGATGATGCTATAACTAAAGCAGAGAGCAGAAATGGGCATGTTTCTTCCAGTTATCATATTGCAGCAGCCATTTACTGTAATTTAAAAACTGAGGCAGAAATGTAAAGGAAGGTGTTACAAGCAAGATCCCACAACAATTAAACACTATGGGTAGAAGGTAAATATTTCAAAGTTTATGTAATATCACATGGACAATCTTCATTGTGAGATGTGCAAAGACCTCAAGCAGATCCCTGCAAGGTTTGTGGGCTTCTTAAATCATGCAAGACCCCAAAATATACTCAGAAGACTATCGTGTTTTAAACGGATGAGCTACAAGCATAAATCAGGGCACTGCACTAATGTGTGGTAATGGCCAGCATCACAAATGAACATCTGTTAAATGAATCTAAAAATTATTTTTCCGCTGCGCACCATATCCCAGATATCCCAGAGAAGATCAGTTGAAGATCTTTTTTCTTTCAAGACAAAACACTGTATTTGACACATATTGACTCTCCAGGACAACTAAAGAGCTGATTATTTATACAGGGACATTCCTAGTTACTAATTCTCTCATTTGTCATTCCTCATATGGCCATGCTGCTTTGCTTTCTTGTTGTCGGGAGAGGTATAACATCTCCATGGATAGTCTGATGCTAACCAGATTGGTTAACGGACAGGACTCTCCACTGAGAATAGTTTCTCTCTTCTTTCTGAAGAGGAAAGCGATCTGTATATATCCCTCAGAGATCAGCTAGGGAAGAAGTTCCTAAGTTTGAAGGTTCAGAAATTGGCGGTGGGCCATAATTTTTAAAGTTGGAGGGTAGCAAAGAACTTGATGTCTTTAAAAGCTTTCCCCTTTATACCAACAAAGAAGTGCCCTTGTTGGAATTAAGTGCATGTTTCTATAGTTTGGTTTGTGTTCATAAAAACATAGCAACAGCACGTGTCTAATAGAAACAGCAGAAAAACCCTCCATGGCAGCCAGCAGAGAGCACATTACCCCCATTAAGTTCTCAGTTTAAAACAAACAATTCAGCATTTTCATTTTCATCCTTTTTTAGGGACATAATAAACTGCCGGGGAGCTGGTATTTAAAAAAAAGAGGCAAAAAGTGATAGCAAAAATAAAGACTAGAAAGGGAGCTTGGTTGAGAAATGATTTCAATATTGATCAAGTACTTGTTATCACTCAGATTTTTAACCCCCTTTGGCACAACCACAGGCCAGGATCAGGGGAGGATGACAGCAGCACTGGACCAGAAGTGACTCTTATTATAATCACTGCTCTTATGTAGAAGATATCTATTCCCTTTATTAAAGTAAAAATATCAGAGGCTTGTAAATGAATTCTTAAAGTTAGAAATTCAGGGCTCATGAAATAATCAAATTACCTTATCTTTCAAGAAAGTCTGTGGAAACATGGATAATGAGAATTGTGTGATTTTATTTTGGGCAACTGATTCTATTGGTGGTTGTAGAAATTACCAAATAATGGGTGGGGGGGAAGCATGCTTTGGAATTTTTGTAGATTAGGAATCTGAGTCTAAGGAAGACTTAAAGATAGTTGCACAAAAAAGGAAACAATCTACAAATGGTAGACCTAGAATTTGAACTTCTGTTTTCAGGACCTCAACACGCACTTTTTCCATCACACTGCAGTACAGGGGAAATAACACTCAGTCTGAGCGAGTAGTGAAGACACAGGATGCTGTGCTGCTCGCTCAGGCCACAGGCCGCTCCTGCGCAAGGCGTGTGATGTAGAGCTGGCTTACTGTCATTGTATTCCATGCACATCAACAAATGTGTCGCTTTATTTTATGACTCAAGAACAAGAAATCACTGTTTAAAATTATTGGCATAAACGAGGTCACTGTCACCTAATATCTAAATCAATCATTGCTGCATTTGGAAAACTAAAATACACCCTTTTTTTCTTTTAACGTGTTTGCCTCCTCCTGAGATGGACTGGGATCATAAGGCATGTGCTGCGTGCTGCTGAGATACAATTATTTAGTAATAGTTAAACTACTCTGGGACACAGTTCACGTGGAAATGAATGTAGGGCTCATTCACAGCACTTAAATTCATAGACTTTCGTAACCTTTCTAAACCTTCTCTCTCCATTTACAAGTGTTGATCACAAATGTATTCCTTTCATTTGGTAATTCTGAGCATTAAATGTAATTTCATATGAAAAGCACTTGGCATTATAATTGATATGTGGCAAGAATTCAAAATCTATGTTTATACACATAATAGAGCATATACATATATATATATATAATAAAAATCTATTATACATGATCATTATAATGCATCTATCTGGTTAGTTAACTCGATAGAGGGACTAACAGATAGAGACATGGGTAAGTAGGTGAAGCGTCCCATCCTCAAGGTTACATCCTAAATGGAAGAAAGATATATAGGAAAGTAAATATAAACAAGGCAGTATTTTAAATGCTCTGAAACTGTGCAGAAACACTGCTCTAGATATTCAGAGGCCATCTTTGACTGGAATGATTCAAATACGCCTTCCTTGGAGGAGGGTAAATTCAAGCTAAGTTTTACAGGGGTTGCCGATCTTACAATAGTGTTGAAAGGGGAGGAAGGATGAGTTCAGGCCAGGAGCCGGCCGATATGTTCAGTACAGGGCCCGCTGGTAAATGTTTCAGCTCTTCGGGCCTTAGGATCTCTGAAGCGATACTCAGCAGAGAGCAAAGGCAGCCGCAGACAACACATCCGTGATGGGCATGGCTGAGCTCAGAAACACTTTAAGTACAAAAGCAGGCGCTGGGCCGAATCTGGCCTGTGGGCTGCAGAGGGCAGAACCCTTGTCTAGGATGGAAGGCCTGTCAGGGAGCCACAGGCGGGGGAAGCACAGAGCCTTTTCCCAGGAGCAGAAAGCGACCTGGTGAGGGTGAAAGCTTCGCTGCACGTTGGGGATCTGTGCAGAACACGCTTGGGGAGACGCTGCGGTGTTTATGGAGACAGGGCGCTATGCCGGAGGCAGGCTGCAGGACAGAGGAAGGGGTGCATGGTCCTTACAGTGGAGCCGCAGCCTGCTGGAGCCAGTGCTTTCCTGCCATTGCCCCTCACTCCCTGACTCAGGCTTGGCTTCGTCAAGGTATTCCCACACGGATAGAGGAATCACCATAAATGCAAACTCGTCGTGTTACACCCAGCTTAAAGCACTGCAGTTGTTTCTCATTAGCTGCAGAAAGAAATGTGAGTTGTTTTGTACCGTACACCTGTCCTGGGCCCATTCCTCACCGGCTCCAACCATGCTGAATGGCGTTTCACTGACGGAATGCAAAAGCATGGCTCTCCACCTGCATACCTGTTACTGTCTTTGCCTAGAATACCTCTCATCCCTTATTTGTCCATAAACTACTCTCTCTTTCCCCAAATCATCAGTTACTTGAGATTTCTACTGATTTCCTCACAGTAGCACGGTTCATGCTGTTCTTTCTACCCTTTTGTGCAAACACTATACTTGCTATATCAAGTACTGCAATCACAAGATGACAAAACTACCTCCTACTCGTGTATTAAACTGTTCTCCTTACGGGATCTGGAGTGCCTGACTCCTCAGCATTTAACAAAGTGCCCGGGACACGGTAAGTGCTCCAGAATTACACAGCATAGCGTCGTATGTAGATTGGAGGGATTAGAAACCAGACGCAGGAAGGTAAGTTAATGTTTGCTGTAATAGTCCCGGCATGCTGTGATTATGGACTGAACTAGGATGTGGGCAGGAGGGACACACAGAGAAGAACGGGCGCCAGAGGCAGCAGCAGAGGAGAAACCTGAGAACTTGTCCAGTGACTGATAGAGGCGAGAGGAGGACCTCAGCCAGCAAGCGCGGATGAGGAAAGCAAGGCAACAGCATTGGGAGGAAGCGGATGCCAAGGTGAGAGACAGGAAAGCGGGGGGACCGTCTGACACGCTGTGCTCAGGAGGCCAACAGACCCTCCAGGTAGCACTGTCTCCTAGAGAGTCACAAATATGGCGGGACTCTGGGATGGAGTCAGAGCTGACAGAACAGACTGAGAAGTTTTCTACCTTTCTGCAAAGTTTTCTGCAGGGTTAGAACCATTGAAATGGATGATATTTCCCTCTCCCTCTCCCTCCCTCCCTCCCTCTCTCTCTCTCTCTCTCTCTCTCTCTCTCTTCTCTCTCTCTCTGTCACACACGCTTGCACGCACGCACGCACACCAAAAGCACAAAAGGACTGGAAAAAATGCTGTGGGGAATGTCGAAATTACTTTGTAGGGAGAGAAAGAGGAGATATAGAAGGCAGATTAGAAGGTGTGGTCAGAGACATGGGGTAAGAAATAAGAAATAACATTTATGTAGACACAGAGGAGAAAAAAAATTCCAAAAAGAAAGGCAGACCTGTGGTGCAAATATTACAAAAGGTAAAGGAGAATAAAGACTCAGAAAAGGTCACTGGTCTTGATAAATTTCAGGAGAATCTTTGGATAAATTTTTTATTTAGTAAAGCAATGGAAGAGAAAATCAGATGGAAAGATTTACAGAAAAAATGGCCACAGAAAATGTGAGGTAGTGACCCACCCTCTCAAAAACGTGGGAAAAAAGTGAGTAAAAGCAGAAGTTCTAAAAAATATCAGTCATTCATTCAATGCCAGTCAATTTAGGTGCCAGTCACTGTTATGTTGCAGGCACTGTGCATGGTAGAATATATTCGAAATTAAATACACAGACATGAGAAGGATAAAAAGAACAAAAACTAACATTAATTTAGTGACTCTATGTCCCAATAATTGTGTTACAGACAGTCATGCATACTGACTCCATATATACCATTTGGCACATAGTAGGTAGTCAATATACATTTAATTGTCACAAATTTAAAGTACCAATTCTTGTCTCTACTTTTACTGATGGATACACTGAACCTTGGAGATGCTAAAATGGCTTTCCCTAAGTGATGGTGGGTAAATGAAGGAATTCAATACCAGATATTCTGAGCATTTCTGTAGGGATAAAGATATGATCCAGGGAAGAGAATATACATTGAATGTCCAAGAGAGAAGTGCAGAAACAGTCGAATTTAACATCTGGAGGAAATTCAGTAGGATGGGATTAGGTGCACAAAGTAAGGGAGGTATGTGCCTTTGGATGCTGGCCTTGTCAATACAGTTCTGTGACTTTCTCCAGTGTTGTGACATAAACTAATTACAAGCGAGGTTTGAACAGAGGTTTGGCCAGTTGGGAGAGCAGGGGACACAGATCTATAAAAGCTAAGTTCTGGAATGGGTGTCAGGAAGCAAAGATGTAAACTAGATATAGACTAGGAATTAATGCAGGATGGTTTACTAGAAGGGAAAATATTAAAAGTAAAGTGTAACTCAAAGTACATGTGCCATCCATAAAAAAATATATAGCTTGCTCAAATGGGTAGAAAGAAAAATAGAGATATTTCTCAGATGGCTGCTGTGTACAAGATTATGGTAGACCATAAGGGAAAATTAACGAATTATATGACACATAAAGGATTGTGCTATGAGAGAGATCATCATATTAGGTAAATGACTTAAATATGTAATGTTTAAGTAGGCAATGCAAAAATTAATATTGAATAGTTCTGTTAACCAGAAGAAAGAATGGATTTTATCCCAAATTCCATGAATAGCAAGAAGCAATTAACATTAATATAAAAGTGTATTATATTCCATTGAAAAGATATCAGGCCAGAGTAAATCAGGTTTAGGTTAGCAAAGCAACTTACTTTATCTTTTAAAATATTTTTAATTTAAGCTGTAATAATTGTCTGTGCTAAGTTCATTTAAAAGTGTTATATAGTAGTTTTTACAAGATAAAAATTGCCTGAACCTTATTTATTTTATCTGACTCTATGACAGTAGAACCGTTTGAAGATTTTCACAGGTGGGTTTTATAGATTTCGGTGAATGTAAAAGTATGAAGTTAATTCTCTAATATTAAAGAAAAAAGAAAATCCAACCAGTCAACTCAACAACCAAAATACATACTATCAAATCCAAACAATCACATCAGACCTCCTGGTACGACTCTGTGAAACACTCTGAAATATAACAGGGTTTTCCAGGCCAGCTTTACAGCTGTGCGTGGCTTACTAACATAGGATAACAGTTAGCAGTGAAATTCAGACATATACTAGGAAAAACAGCACCTAATCCTTGCATTCTATTCTAGCAACGGGGTGTAGGGATCGATTTTGTAAACATGCAGCTTCACACTCAGGAATTCAAACATCACAGACAAGAGTGCTGTCTGTAGATGAGTCTCCTCTCACCCAGATAAAGATTAACTAGACTCTAATGCTGCAGAGGGTCGGACAGGCTCTAATGCTGCAAGGGTCAGACATCGCTTCCAAACTGTCATCAACTTACTGAGCACTACGGTGACAGGGGGAGTAATGTGCTCTGTGTGGATTAGGACAGCACAGGTTTTCGGGTACGGAGTATTTTTTGTTCTCGGCTCTACTGTAAGGAGTTCAGTTAAATGTTTTAAATACCTATCCTCGTAAGAACTATATATAAAGTCAGTTTTATTATTAGTGTCTCTCTTCCATGGGTAAGAAAACTGACAGCCAGAGATGTTAAATAAGGGGCACTGCTGTTGGGACTAGTGGGGGCAGGATGCGATTCTACACGGTGTGATGCCCAAGGCTGTGCTCTCAGCGCTGACCTGAAGGCTTGGTTAGCTCCTAGGATGTGGCGTCAGCATCTCCATGCTTCGAGCAGGACGGCGAAGGGGGTGGTGTTTCCTGACCTTCTGAAGCAGGAAGGTGGTGAGCTGCACCTGCCTGCCTCCAGGTGGTGCCAAGCAGTGACCCAAACAAGGCAGATACTGTGACCTTGGGCAGACATTTTCCCAATCCTTAAAGCTTCACTCTGGGAAGTCAGCTCTTGTTTTGGAAGTAGGTCTCAGGCTTCTGAGAGAAGTTTGTGCGCTCCCTCCTTTTACAGTGCAGGCCAGTGTCCATTTCTCCCTGGATTCCTCCTCTGTCTCCATCCAGACCTTCCTAGCTACCCTGGTGGCTCCTCCTTCTAAACCTGCCCGTCAGGTGCTGGGAGAACCCCAGTGACCAGGTGCTGCCTCTCATTTCCTTATTTCATATGCAGTCCTTGGTTTTAAACGTGCACTAAACACTGATGACTCCCGAATCTGTATCTCCAGCTCTGACCCTGACCCTAAGCTTCACATCCATGTCTTCAACATCCTGGCTGATCTCTCTAATGACTCACAGTCATCTCAAACTCTATTCAAATAAGAACTCCGACTTGATCCCAAACCTCTGTCTCCTTCAGTGAATGATACCACCGTCTGCCCAGGTGTTCAAGTCAAAAACTTAGTGGATGACTGACTTCTCCCTTTTATACCCACTTACAATCTCAAATGTATGCCCCACGTCTATTCACTTCTCCATCCTAGAACAAGGCCACACTACTTTTTGTTTGAATCACTATATTAATTAGCACCTAACTAATCTCACTGGTCTCACAGGTGTCTTTCTCCCTCTCTCCCTCTCTCTGTCTTCCCTCCCACCCCCCAGAATCCTGCCTCCTCCAATCGAATCCAAATACAAATCAGGTTATGCTGCTCCTAATTTAAAATCCACCATAGTTTCCCACCTAAAATTAATTTTAAAATCCCAATTCTTTACCACGACCTAAAAGCCCTTACCTGGTCTGCATGGCGTGGCACCTGCCTACCTCCCTGACTGCTCTCTCTCTGGTCCAGACTCACAACCTTCCCAGTTACACACACCAAGCTCCTTTCCTTTCACAGACCAGTATTTGCAGCCTAAAGTCCACCTTCTCCGAGAGGCCATCCACAATAACCATAACCGAAAGTCGCTTGTCACTCTCTAGTGTGTTATCCTGTTTTTGTTTCAAGGCTGCCATCACTATATGAATAATCTGATCTATTTTATATTTAATTGTCTGCCTCAAGAAGCATGTAGGCTCAAAGACAATGGAAACTTTGTTTTGTTTATCACCGTTATTCATATTAGCAACTCTATAAATGTTCACTAAGTAAAAAACATCTTGAGGCCTCCTACCTAACTCAGTGATCTCTGCCCACAGAAAAGACAAATAAATGCCAGTTTCCCAAAGTGATTATTTTAAATAGGAAATTAGTTAAATAACTTATTAACCAAATCATCACTATTTCGATATGCGCATGGATCCCTGAACCCTCAAATGCTCTGTTCTTTCATAGCCATTTAACCCACCCTCATCTATCTAACATCAGCCTACAGAAGGTGGGGATGACCAAAAATACTTATGTCTTTCACACTTGTCTCTGGAAAATCTGGAAATTGTTATTTCTTAAAGTGTAAAACGGGAATTAAAAAGGGGACAAAACTAAATCAACCAAATGTTACAACTCATCTGCTTTCTCATCCTCTCTGAACAAGGCACCATAGCATATCTCCATTTTAAAAGGATTTAAGAGGAATGAAATCCACTTTGTAAACTTAGAAAACACACACATTCTTACTGGGGCTAGTGGTGGGTTAAAAATGGCCCAAATCCTCTGACACTCCTCCTGCCCAGAGGCAACGTGCTTTCTCCTTCCTCCCTGGGATCTGCCTGGCCACTTCTGCTGACACAGTGTTAGGAAGGGAAGCTCGGACACTCCAGGCCTGGCCTTCAAGAGTTCCGGCAGCTTTCACTTGAGAGCCCAGAGCTGCCATGTAAGAAGTCCGACGACCCTGCTAAGGGAGGAAGCTCACTGAGAAGCCCCGAGACCACAAGACCAGACAAGGGCCTAGCTGACCATAACCTTCTAGCCGTCCCCGCCAAGGCACCAGGCAGGGGTGAAGCCACCTTGGACCCTCCAGACCACCCAGTCACCAGGGAAATACCACTGAGTGTCACCAGTCAACCACATGACTCAGAAGACTCTCCCGCTGAACCCTGCCCTCATCCTGAACTATAAAATCATGAGTTATGATAAAAATATAAATAAAATTAATAAATGAAATAAAAGTTTAAAACAATAAATCAAATCATTATTGTTTTAATTCTCATTTTAGGCACAGTTGGTTATTCAACAATAGATCACTACAATAAGGCTATGTGTTAACATTACAAAATACCTAGCAAAATTAAGCATTATGTTCATTTAGTCCAAAGACTCATGATTAATGAGAAAAGTAATCAAACTTCACAAAGGGAAGTGCACTGACCTGATAACTGCGTTTGTTGAAGCATCAGCATCCGAGGCATTTACCAACAAAACGTCTGTTCCTGTCGGTGCATCTTCAGGGATTGTGGTGAAATACATTTTACTGGCAAAAGTGGGGACATTGTCATTGACGTCATCTACTATGACATTGATTGTTCCAGTTCCAGTCAGGGCAGGGGATCCTAGAAGGAGACACAAATCAAGCCTTAATATTTAAAAATAACAAAAACAATAACAGATTTAGCAATAAGTAGCTGTAGGCATCACTATTGAAGAGAATATAGAAACATCTTCAAGTTAAATCTCTGAATATAGACAAGCAATGGAATGATTTTTAACTTTCTGACAAAAATATTTTCATTGATGAACTAATATTTCAACTCTTTCCCACTGATACTTCACAAAAAGAGTCCATCAACTTCTTATTCTGTTTCAAAGGTGCTGATTCAACAGTGTGGAATACAACAATATCATTTAAACGCCACAAAAGAGGCACTGCTGGTTTCTCTGAAATCACATTAAAATAACTGAAGCCAGATTTGGAGAATACCCATGGGCATGGAATCGCTGGCCCGCTTTGTGTAAATGAAAGCAGTCTGAAAAACTGTATTCCTAGCTGGGACTATCACTGCTAAGGTCAGAAATTTCAGCTGGGCTCCTGGGGTCTTCAAATCCCCCTTTCTGTACGAATCAATATTTGTTTGTAGAAAAAATAAGCTGCAGGTTATATCTCAACACTGTGATCTTCTGCTTGCTGGAAACAATATTAGGTCAATGAGCTGACTTGAAATCATTTTTGTTGCATTTATTTAGAATTTCACATGAATGTGAAACAAGTCATTTTGATTTCCTGTTTCAGCTCTGATATCAACACGTAGTGAAAACCCAACATTTCACAAAGCCTTGGAGACACTGTCTGCACTACACAGTTAGACTTAGCGGTGAAGGTCAGATGCCCTGTTTGGTTAGATTCTGTGGGTTGTCCCACAACTGAAAGGCAAATCATCTGCCTTTAGTTATGTTTCCAAAATCATTTTCAAACTTTAATTTGTCAAAATAGAAACAGTGAAGATCTGTTTAACTTCGTACCTAAAATAAAACAAGGCCACAGACCTAGTGAGGAAGCTGGAATCTGATGCCTGTGGCTCGGCTGTGGAGTGTCCACCTCTGGCCAAAAGCCAGGTGTGGCTAGCAGCTGGACAGGTGTGGCTCAGTGGGATGTGCTGGGACCTGGACAAGCTGAGCCCAGAGAACATCGCCCGGCCTGAGCTGCAGGAAAAGCCCACCTGTGAGGGACCCTAGCTATTTGACAGTTGAAGTTTGTGGGCCATTCGAAGACAATGATCTTGTCATGGGTTTCAAATTTCTCACAAGGGACATATTAAAGCTAAAATAAATATTTTCAGGGGTATTACTGATGGCCAATGTTTGACCTAAATCTCTTGAATGCGTGTTTAATCATATACAATTTGGCAAAACGTATATTAATGATCTGAATCATGTTAGTATTTCTCCCACTGGTTGAATTAGAAAAAAATTTAACTGGAGAGAATCTGTGCATTTGTGTGGACAAAAGGGAATGGCATGGGAAGAAGGTACCTGTGAAGAACTCAGGATAACTAATCAAGGTCCCAGAGGCAAAGGATGGAGAAGTAGGTAGGGCTCTGGTATCTCTTTCACTGACGCTGAGCTCACTAAATCTCGGTCTCCTCTGGTGTAAGATGGGAATAAAATGAAGAGAATCTACCCCAGAGAGGTACTGAGGGACTGTAACATGCTTAGGAAAATGCCAGCGTATCGTTAAAATGCATTCCGTATTAATCATTGTTCTTGTACTTGTTTACCAAATAAGAAAAATGGAAAACTGACATGTAAAAGATCAATTTTTAATCTAACAAATTTCCGGGTCATCGTTCTCAGAATTTTTCTTCCCCCATGCAACTTTTGACTCAATCCCATGACAATGTTATTCAGGAAAACACTGTGAATCATCCTTTCCTTTTAAGGGCTCCCCTGTAGGATAAACATATGAGAATCTAGCTCTCCAAAATCCCATACTGGCTTTGTGGAAGACGTGTTGAGCTGCAAATCTGAAAATACAAAACTTGAGTATTCTGATATGCACATTAGTGTCTAATCAACTTGCTTACACTTTTTAAGAAATAACCCAGTAAGTGCCAAGCGAAGGTTCTATCATGGGTATTCTAAAGCGTCTGATGACACACATATGGAAAACCACATAAAGTGATGACTAACGCCTTTGGTCAGGAACATGTGATTTCTTTCTTTGTCTATAAACTACATAAATATTGTTGCTGATGTGTTTTCTAACTTAGTAAGCAGAAAGAAAAATGCTATTTACCCAGGAAAATATTCATAAGTTCAATCCCACTGTCTTCATACCAGAAGACACCTAAGTTGTTTTAGGAGATTTAAAAGCACACCAGCGACAACAGATGGTTCTGGCTGGAGAAGGCCCAGTAGGTGATCCCATATCCACATGGGGCCTGTTCACAAGCATGATGGCCCCGTCGGTGCTCCTTCTCCCCTTATTAGCTGCCACAACCAACTCTGTAAGTACATGGGCTCTACCCTTCCTATTTTCCTCTCGTTTCGAGAATGGATAACGTGGGGCCCACATTCTCCACTGCCTCACTTCCTGTTGCCTGAGCACCCGTGCCGGCAGGTCTTGTTTTTTTTGTTTTGTTTTTTTTCAATTTTACAAGGAAAACCTAACAAAGACATTGTTCTAAATCAGTCTTTGACTGAGATTTAACTAACCCCAAATTTGAACTCGGCCTGCAATGTTTCACTTTTATTCTTGGGGTAGGTCTAGCACCCACACCACACTCCAGCCTCAGACTTGTCCCCTGCTGGCATGAGCTTGGGAGTCACTGCCTCTCACCATTAGGCAGCAGAGTGGCATCAGGAAGGAAGTGGGATACCCTCGGTTTCCAGTAAGTCCACTTCTGCAGGCCTCTTCCCAGATGCAGGGCTCCCTCTTATCTGCCGATTCAGGAGGAAGCCGTGTTTTTGTTCTTGCTTTTCTGTTTGTTCACTTGTTTTCGAACCCTCCCTCTTAACTGTGTGAAGTGGTCTAAGGAGGTACTTATGTTCCTGGCTCCCAACACTTTTTTGGTTGTATCCCACATGATGGGGTGCACAACACTCGCTATTATTTTATCTTCACTCCAGAATGCTCTGCTCCAGGCTGACATGTCCAACTGTATGCTACCTCCTCTTGCAACTTACCTAAGCGCCCAACATTAGTATGTCAAAAATGGAAATCATTATTCTCTGTAAACTTAGCCCATACATCCATATAAATTGAAATACCTATGTACTCGTACATATACATATATACACAATTTGTATATATATTATTGAACACTTATTTGATACTAGATCGATGTATGTGTATTTTATATGTTACTCATTTAATATGCAGATTCCATGAAGTAAGTATTATTGTTTAATTTTTTAAGTAAAGAACTTGATACAAAGCATTTAAGCAATTTATTTGCATTCAGTCATAGTGGGCAGAGAGAGAGCCGATTTTGAACACTTAAAAAAAATATTTTCTCAGTTCATTAGGCTCAGATAAGCTATGCCACTTTGTTGCAGATGTTTTACTCTAATTATTATTATCAATGTACTTCTGCCATATCATCTATTAGGTTGTAATCTGGTTGAGAGCAGGAAGAATACTATTTAATTCGTCTTTAAATAAACCCATAATGCAAGACATTAGGCCAGGTACTCCATCTGTATTAAATTTTTATTTGATTTTATGAATGGAAATCTGGTCTAGTGACTATGTGGCTGAAAGTTCAAAGAGATGAACACTCCTGGAAATATCCATCTGGGAATGTAGGCCTTAGCCTAAGCGTGGAGTCACAGAACCGGACTGCAGAACAAACGTCAGCGTTTTGGAGATAGTCTACTACTTATAAACAGAGTGTCTCAATTAATCCTGAGTCCCCTGAGAAGAATACACATACTATGGATTATGGTATGTGGCCAATGTTTAGCTTGATAATGATGCCAATGTTTAGCTTCATAATGATGCATTATATAGGTAGTGGTGTAATAGGGCAAGACTGTTCAATTTCATCTGGGATTATTTATAAGAGCCAGATGCAGTCTGAAAGAAGAGGCAGGATGCAAACACAGACTCCTGGTAGAAGACAGTAAGCCAATGAAAAGAGTATAAGATACAAACAAAATAAAAGGTCAAGGTCTCAGAAATGTATGACTGTAGAGGCTCAGAGAGTGCAGTGGACATTTGAAATACAATTACAGTCAGAAGATGAAATTAATTTAAAATTTCAATTTGTAAAATTATATGTATTGTGTATATACGTGTGTGTGTGTGTGTGTGTGTGTGTGTGTGTGTATAAAATGAACATATAGGTAAATTGATGGGAACCTTCTGAAATTTTTAGAGCAAATAGCAAAGAATACATATGATTTTGAAAAGCATTTTTTAAAGTGTATAAAAACAAATCTCTCTCTCTCTCTCTCTCTCACACACACACACACACACACACACACACACACACACACACACATAAAAACACAGGAAAGACTGTGCACAGCTTGATCTTCCCATTATCCATTATATTGGGGTACTTTCAAGCTTTGTGGAAGTCATATTTTGTATTCTTGAATTTGGGATTTGATTAAACTAGTATTGCCTTTTAACATTGGTGCTTTGATAAGCTCAAATATATCAATGAATGTAGTTGAAGGAAGTTTAAAATAAGATTTTAAGAAGAAAAAAGCTTCAGGCAAATGCTCTATCAGAAAATACATCTTCAGTAAGTGTAATGAATGAGTCTAAATGACTTAATAATGTTCAACCTGCAGGCAGATTACATTTTTTATGTCAGCTCCTATGAATTAAACATATTTTCCTGAAATATGAAAAACTACTTGGCAGAAATAGAATTTTTGCTGAAATGAAATTTGTTGCTTTGCAACAAAGCTGATTCCATTCTTGACATCAGATATTTGGTGAATGGTTCCCCTGACTGGCAGTGTTTTTCCCCGTGAAATGTGTTCTCACAGTAAGAAAGCCATCCATTGAAAATGTATTGAAATTCAGCCATTCTATACTAATTTTGAAGATGATGTGGTTAGATTTAAATTTGCATCCAGATAATGTACAAAGCAAACAAGT